GAAAAATGTGTGTTTTGATATTATGGGGTATAATACTCTGTAGACCTCTTCTTAGTCCATTTGTTTAAAAGTTTGGTTCAGTTCTGATATTTCTTTCTTTTTTTTTTTTTTGTCTAGAGATCTATTTGGGATAGTGGGGTACTGAGATCCCCCATTATAGTTGCATTATTGCTTATTTGGTTTTTCATGTTTGTTAATATTTGTTTTATACAGTTGAATATGCTGGTATTTGGTGCATATGTATTTATGATTGTTAGCTCTTCTTCTTGGATTGTTCCTTGGATGTAATCACCTTTCTTGTCTTTCTCAGTCAGTTTTGGTTAGAAGTCCACTTTGGCTACAAACGGAATAGCTGTCCCGGGTTTTTTCTGGGTTCCTGTTGCATAGAGTATTGCTTTCCACCCTTTAACTTTGTCTGTGAATTTCTTCTTGAATTAAGTATGTTTCTTTTATGCAGTATATTGTTGGATCTTGCTTCTTTTTTTGGTACCCAGTATTGAACACGCGATCTCATACTTGCCAGGCAAGTGCTTATGCTGCTGAGCTAAATCCCTGGCCCCATGGATCTTCCTTCTTTGTCTATTCTGCCAATCTGTTTCTTTTAACGGTGAATTGAGACCATAAACGTTGATAGTATAACTGATACGTATTGACTCGTCCTTGTAATGTTATTTTCCTGTCCCCACCTTCCACCTGGCAAATATCCCTTTTAATTGCTTGTCTTGTTTGGTGGATTCATTCTGTTGGGGTTCATGGAGTTTTGGTTCTTGTTATATTTCCAGAATGTTCTTCAGAACAGTTTGGAGTGCTACCTAAGGTCTGCTTTGTCTAGGCGTATCTTATTTCTCCATCAGTTTTGAAAGACAGTCTTGTAGGACACATCAGTCTGGGTTGGGGGTTGTTTTCTTTTCAGGCTTCACTCCAAGTTCACTACTTCACTCCAAGTTCTCCTTGACTTAAGGGTTTGCATCGAGAAGCCAGCTGTGATTTTGATGGGCTTTGCTTTATAGGTGATTTGTTTCTTTTCTCTAACAGCTTTTTTTTTTTTTTTTTTTTTTACCAGTACCATGGATCGAACTCATGACTGCGCGCTTGCAAGGCAGGCGCTCATGCTGCTGAGCTAAATCCCCAGCCGCTCTAACAGCTTTTAATAGTCTGTTCTTGTGTTGAATTTTTGGGACTTTGACTATTAGGTGCCTTGCTTTAGATTTTTTTTTCATGGCTAATACAATCCTACATGTCTCACTTATTTATATGTATGTCAAATTCTTTTTCTTTGCTTGAGAAGTTTTCTGCCATTACTGCTGTGAACAGGGTTTTTTTTTTTTTTTTTAATGTCATTTGTGCTGTCAGGTGCTGCTTCATTGAGTCTGATTGAATTGGGGAGGGTTTAGTTTTTTGAGACGGGATCTTGCTATGTGGTTCAGACTGGCGTTGAACTCACTTTGTAGCCCAGGCTAGCCTTTCAGGGTTTTTCCTACCTTAGCCTCCCAACTGTTGCACTTATAGGTGTGCACCACAATGTCCAGCCCTAATCAATTTTATCTTTTTCTTCTTTGTATCATCTAGCAGCTGCTGGATTGATTTCTCATGATCCCTTGCTATTTTTAAGAAATCTTTTCATGATTGCTAACCACAATCTGATATTCTGGCTTTTTCTGTTTTATATACTTACTTTTTTTGGTGCCAGGGTTCGAATTCACTACCTCGCATTTGCCAAGACTTTCAGCAGAATTTTTAATCTCCTGGATATCTGTTTGATTCTGTTTCATAGACTTCATTTCATTCCTTGTTTTTATTTTTTATTGGTACTGGGATCGAACTCACGAACGCCTGCTTACAAGGCAGGTGCTTATGCTGCTGAACTAAATCCCTAGCCCCTTCATTTCATTCCTATGTTGGGTATTCATGGCTTCCATCATTTCCCTAAGATCCTTTTTTTTTTTTAATCTGTATCTGCTCTAGAGATGCTAAGCGTGCCTTTTGTTATGGTCACCATCTGTAGTTATCTGAGAAATTACTTCTGATTTTTTTTTTTTTCCTAGAGTCTTGTTCATATGCTTTGTACTAGTACCATTTCAAAGAGTCCAGGTGGGTGGCTTTTAGATTGTTCCACATTATAGCCTCCTGGGTTTTCCTTTGGTGAGATAGAAGGCTGAATAGTATCTTGTTTAAATGGTTTTTTTGGTTTGTTTTTATTTTCGGTTATGGTTGTAAATTGCTTATGGTAAGTAGCTTTACTGGCAGTATTTAAAACCCTTAGGAAATGACTACTTCCCAGAGGTGTCTTCCAGATGTAGCTGGCTTTTGGGTTGAGTCTGTTGTAGGATTCTATTCTACCTTTTGAATTCATTGGGTTTGAGAAGTTGCTGTGTATTGGGGCTAGCCCCTGGTTCTTTGGCACTGATCTATAATATTGTAACCCTTAGGTGATCACAGTCTTGGCATACCAGGAAGAACAACTCATTAGAAAAATTGTGTCACCTTGGCTAAAGTGGTAGAGTCAGCAATAAGAGTGTCATCAAACACAGCCTGGAAAGTGACAAACTGTGGTAATGCAATTTGCCACCTTTAACTGTATGAACTAGATATGTGGTTATATAAGAAAATTCTAATATGAACCATATAATTTTATACAGTAAATAAGTCCTCAATATGGTTATTTTGCCCTCAGGGGAGAACATTTAGAAGGGACTTGGGGAAAAATGGAAGCAGAGGAAGAGATTAGAAGCAAGACTGGAGGACAAAGGAAAATTACAGAAACTTTGGGAAACATGAAGAAGACAGGAGGAAAAGAGAAAAAACGCAAAGACAAGAACTGAACAATAACAAAAAAGCTTAGAAATCATATTACACTTAATGTAAAAAGAACAAACAAGAAAAAACATTACAAAAACAGGGGAAAAAAAAAAAAACATCTACTACAAGGCATGTTTCTGCTCTCACTGGTAGGCAGTGTGATCAGATAGAGTCGGGGTCCAAGTTGATTAATTCTAACAAGCCTGCCATAGTGTTAAGGCAGGATGGTGGAGAATCCCAGCAAGCTTGCACCTTTTAGTTCCATGTAAATTTAGGCTGATTTCTGGCTGTGACCCAGTTTGCTCAGCCTGTAACACTTCATGTACTGCCTTCTGGCTTGCTTTTGGCTCCCTGACCTCCTACCAACTTGAGCTCAGCAGCCTGACCTCACACTGGGAATTGTCAGATGGATCCATTCCACAGCTGTTCTGAGCACAGAGTTCAGAGCTCAGTTGTCCCCTTTCCAAGATTTCTACCAGCCAGTCACCCTCTTGTGGAGGGCATCTGAACCCGAATAACTCACCAGCCACTACAATCTGCTTATGTCCACTGCTCCATTCCACTGTTGGGTTTCTCTGTGGAGCCCACTGAGTCACTGTGGGTCTGTAGGTTCAACCACTTCTCTCCTGCAGTCAGTCAAATCTCAGGGAGGAGGCACCACCTGCTACCACCTTCTGTATTGAAATCTGTCTCCATTGTCTTTCATGGGCTTCACTGCTCACTTCAGATACTTCCTGGGTCCTAGGAACATACTTGTCTTCCTCATATTCCAGGATACAGACACCAAATCTTGGTGAGGCTCTTTCTCTGCTGCTCATCACTATGCCATCTTCTGTGTTACGTTTATAGGCATTTAACACAATCCTGGCTTGTTTTTTAGAACTTAGTAATTATAATTTTTAATTTATTCAGAAAAGTTACTTATTAACTGAATTTATTATTTGAATTTTGAGTAACAAAGCAGTAATATTTTGAGCTTTAAATACTTAATGTGAGGGCTGGGGATATAGTTCAGCAGCACAGCACCTGGCTGGCAGGTGTGAGGTCATGAGTTCGATCTCTGGTAAAAAAAAAAAAAATTAATGTGAGGTGGGCATAGTGGCATGCACCTGTAATCCCAGCACCCAGAAAACTAATGCAGGAGAATTGCTGTGAGTTTGAGGCCAGCCTATGCTATAAAGTTAGTTCAAGACCAGTCTGAACTACATAGCAACCTTTTCTCAAAAAACAAACCAACAAAAAAATTTAATGGCACCACAGTGTGAAGTGCATTCAGTCAAAACTTAAAAATCTGGACACGGTGGTACACACCTATAATCCCAGTTCTCTGGGAGATTTAAGGTAGGAGGATCATGAGTTTAAACCCAGCTAGGCAGTTTAGCAATATAGCAAAACTCTGTCTCAAAATAAAAAATAAGAAGGGCTGGGACTATAGCTCAGGGCAGAGGCCCTAAATTTAATCTCCAATAGGCTGAGGCAGGAGGACTACAAATTTGAGGCCACCTCAGACAGTTTACTGGAATACTGTCCAAAAATTAAAACATGAAAAGTGCTGAAGATAGAAGCTTCCGTGGTGGAATGCTTGCTTGTCTTGCCTGTAGGAAGTCTTAGGTTCAGTCCTTAGTATTGGGGAGAGAAAGAACGTAAGTGACCTAGAACTTACCCTTTTGTATATCTTTTCAAATAATCAATTTTGTGCTTTTGAATCATTTTTATTGCATAATGCTTTTGTCAAGTTTTGCTTTTTTTTTTAAAATTTACTTTGTACGTACTTTACACAGTTTTGGTTCTGACTTTGTGCTTTTGCTCTGACTTTTATGCTCATCAGGGTTTATATGATTGTCCCCCCTTCTCTACACCTTTGCCAAAACAAAGTTGTTTGTTCTTTTTTGTTTTATTTTGTTTTTGTTTTTATGACAGGGTCTCAGTTTGTAGTTAAGGCTGGCTTTTGAACTCACAACAACCCTCCTGCCTCAGCCTCCCAAGTGCTGAGATTACAGGCATGTGTCACCATGCTTAGCATTTGCTTGTTTTTAAGCAAAGAGAAGAAATTGGGGTGAAGGAAGCTGAGATATTAGGAATGATGTCACATTCAGTACTAAGCTTTAACCATTATCAGCTACATTTATAATTCTAATGTATTCTGGCTGACAGGATTATCAGATGCAACTTATAACAGACTTTTTTCTTCTCCTTGGCAGGACCTGTTGGGGCCCAGCCCCTACTCATGGTGCCCAGAAGACCTGGCTATGGCACCATGGGCAAACCCATTAAACTGCTGGCTAACTGTTTTCAAGTTGAAATCCCAAAGATTGATGTCTACCTCTATGAGGTAGACATTAAACCAGACAAGTGTCCTAGGAGAGTGAACAGGTAAGCATCAGGAAACTGTGAAGATCTTTGCTATTAGTGCTTGCTTTAATACATTATATATCTGAATAACAATGACAGTATATAACAATTTGACCAAACACTAGATAATTTATTTTGAAATTGTATTTCAGAGCTGTGATTGTGAGAAAAATCTGCAAACAGCCTTGAAATTATTCTTACGTTTTCTTTGTGATAATAGAAAATGTCCACGTCATTTTTAGATGCTTTTGGAACCAGGCTGAGAAACTTGAACATATCTTTTTTAAGTTACTGTTAGGTGATATGTGTGTGCTTTCTTTTTCCTCCCAACCTGACCTTACTTATCAGATGATGGTGATCTTTCAGATGATGGTGATGATGGTAGTAGTGATAGGTTGAGATAGTGACTGTCATGGTTTCGTGCTTTCTGTTATATTCTTTGCTTTTCCATAAGCAATAAGTATAGATCATATATAAAGATTTATCATTCTGCTTCCTTTACCTTCCCCCAAATGCTATATGTATGTATCATTGAGGTTTAGCTAGTTCAGGGATTGTAAAAGGAATTTATTATGTAGTAAGTATGTTGAGTATATTCTGATTAAAAACAAATACATTTAGAAAACAATGATTTTTAATTTAGCTTTTTGGTTTATACTGTCTCAGTCTTACTAGTATTATTCAGAGTTTTAATTTATGAAATAGTTCTTTTTGTCAAAATTTGTAATTCAGTAGATATGATAGAAGAAATACAGCAGTCCGATTTTTTTGGACTTGCCATCCTTATTAGTATTTCTGTTATACATAAAAATGAATGAATTTCTGTTCTACATAAAAATGTATCTGCTAAAGAGATTTTTTTTTAAATCTACATTGCTTTATGTTTTTAATTCGAATTTTTCTTTCATTTTTATTTTTTTTGTCTTTTTCATTTTTATCAGTACCGGGGATCGAACTCATGACCGCCTGCTTGCAAGGCAGGTGCTTATGCCGCTGAGCTAAATCCCCAGCCCCTCATTTTTATTTTTATAGATACATGTTTGCAGTATATAATGATTACATTTGTTGTATATATAACGTCTTAATTCTGTTTTCATCGTCTTCCCCACTCCTTCCTCTTCCTTCCATCTCATACTGAGATTTTGTGATAATGTTAAAACAACTTTATAAATGTTAGAGTTAACATGTAATGAAAAAATTACATAGTATAACAGTTGGAAGAAATCTTTAATCCAGTAATCTTTTAGATCTGAAATTCAGAAAGTTAAAGAGACTAATTAATAATTAATAACACACCATTTTTAGTAGCAAAGGTGAAACCAAAACTCTAGAATCCAGATGTGGTAGCCACTAGGAAATCTTTTATAAAGGAAGGAGAGAATGAACTCATTAGATAAAACAATTAGCAGAAATTTGGGGAGCATTAATAAGTTGTGTGTATGTATGTATGTACAGTAAAAAGTGCAGCAGTTGGGAAGAACCAGAGGTACGAAGCTATCAGAAAGAATAGATGACTCCTAACCCTACTGAAAGCCTGCACCCCTACCCTGAGCTTTTTAGACAGCTCTTTAAGTGTGCCTCTCGGTACTACAAGAAAAAGTCAAAACAACTTTTTTTTCAGCCCTGACTCTTGTAGTTTGTTTATTCTACTGTATCCTTTTTTTTTTTTAACCTTAGGCTAACCCTAACCCTAACCCTAACCCTTTCAACCTAGGCTTTTTATTTCCTTGTACTTCTTTTTGGTTTTGAAGTCTTACTGCTTGCTTTTATTTCAGAAATTATTCTTCAGTCTTCTCCCCTACTTTTCCCCCTAGTCCTGGAGGTTGAACCCAGCGCCTTTATACTGAGCCTCATCTGTAGTCCTTTTCTGTTTGTTTTTTTTTTTTTTTTTGTCTTTTTCGTTTTTATCGGTACCAGGGATCAAACTCACGACTTCCTGCTTGCAAGGCAGGTGCTTATGCCGCTGAGCTAAACCCCCAGCCCCTGTAGTCCTTTTCTAAAAAAAGATTTTTTTTAAACTGATTATGATTTTTAATCTGATTATCTTACTCTCTATTCTCCTACTTTAAAGATTTAATCAGCTTCATATTACCTACAGAATACCATCCAAAACTTAGTATAGCATACCTGCCTGGATTTTAGTTTTCTTGCTTGCTTGTTTTTGGTGCTGGGGATTGAATCCAGGGCCTTGCCCTTGCTAATTGTTTGAGTTTTGATAGAAACTACAGGATTTCCATGGGACTTTAAAAATGGCATTTCATTGAAATCTATTATTAAATGTTCTAGTTCTTCCCATGTCAAAGTGGGGAGGGCATATCAGCTTTATTTAGTCATCTCTTGACTGATAGATTGGGGATTGGTTTTAGGACCCCCTACAAATTCCAGAATCTCCAGACAGTCAAATTTCATATTTACAATAGTTGTATATTTGTAGACAGCCTTCACACATCTCTTGCGCACTTTAAATCATCTGTAGATTACAGTGTCTGATGAAATGGGTATGCTATATAAGTAGTTGTTACATTATATTGTTTAAAGAATGATGACAAGGGAAAAAGTCTGTACATATTCAGTATAGATGAAATTTTTCTCAAGTATATTCAATTGGAATTTTGTTGAATTAAGGAAGTAGAACCTTCAGATATAGAGGGGCAATTAAACTTGTTAATAGTGTCTTCATTGAAAGAGAATATCTCCGTTTATTTTCTTCAGCAGACTTGTTTTTGTCTGCCACATGATTAGTCAGTTAAAGCTATTAGTGGCCTTGCTGAAATAGGTGGTTTAGTTCCTATGCATTAGCAGCTGAAATTTTGGAAATTAGAATCATATAGAACTGTGCAGTTTCTTCTTAACACTAGCAAAATAGGGATCAAAATGCAGCAGTTTAGTTGCATCTAATTTAACTTTCCCAAAATGGTTAAAACTAACAGATTGTTTTATTAGTACAAAAGTTTTTGTTGTCACTTTCTGTAGTGTCATAGTGATTATCACCTAAGTTACTTAAATTTTTTTATACTTAGTATAGGGTGTATGAGGTTATCCTTGTGCATATGCCACATGGACAAATATTTGGCACTAAGACATTAATCATAATAGTAGAATGAGGTTTTTTTTGGTTTGTTTTATTTTTGTTGTTGTACTGGGATCGAACGCATGACCTCATGCTTGCCAGGCAAGCGCGTAAGCCACTGAGCTAAATCCCGGCCAGAATGAAGTATTTTAACGAAACAAATTTCCACTTTAGTCAGAGGAGGATTTTTGGACAAATTTCCAGGAAATGCTTATGAATAGTTTTGTGAGTCAATGTTTAGATTTCAGATCTTCTGTCTGTTGCCTCCTCCACTTTCCTTGCCCCCTTTCTTATGCGAAAGGGGGTTTTCTCCTTTCGTTTCTCTACTAAGTGACTTTGATTGAAAATGATCATTTGGTGAAAGTGCAAGTTCCAAATGTTACTAGTTTGGGGGCTCTTTTTAAACAAGTCATTGTAATAACCAAAAACCAAATATGTTTAGAAATGTGACTCGGGGCTGGGGATTTAGCTCAGTGGTGTAAGAGCCTGTCTGGCAAGTGGGAGATCATGGGTTCAATCCCTGGTACCAAAAAAAAAAAAAAAGTGACTTAGGATAGAAGTTCTGTAATTGAAATTGTATACTAATTTGCCAATCTACTAAATATTCATGGAGATAAACCTTAAATAGACTTATGTATTAAAAAATCATTAAATGATAGAATTATATACATGGGTAAAAAGTTGCAAATACGTAACTGTAAGACCTATGTTTTTAAACTTTTGTTGTATTTTTTTTTGGTACCAGGAATCAAACTTATGACCTTGTGCTTACCAGGCAAGTCCTATGCCACTGAGTTATATCCCTGGCCCTGAAAGACCTATTTTATACATGAATGAAAGTGTGGAGGAATCTCATGGTAGTAGATTGTTGTAGAGCTCTGTTCGGTTCAGTTGGCTTTTACAAATTACTGTACAGTCATTATACTTTTATTGCTATCATATGCTGTTATGATTAATAACAATGCCTGACCTTTGTGCCTGTTACATATGGATGTAATGTAATATCAATTGAATTTTAGAATCTAAAATAAGTCTATATTGATATCATTTTGGCCTTTTAAATGCAAATTTCAGATTAGTAGTATTTAAAGGAACATATTTGCTGTTACTAAGAATATCATTGTGGGGGAACAACTATTTGTAAGAAACTAGAGACAGATAGTGAAGATCTCCAGTGGACTTGCTTTGAAATCTGTATTTCTTTAAATTGTTTTTTTAACTGTTTTGTTCTGTTTTGATATGTTTAATCTTACCCTCTTTGAGATGTAAAACAAGTGTGTAGGACTGATAACCATATTACTGAGTTTTTGTTTGATCATTGAGTAGAACTGTTTGCAGTGTCACTTTTTGAATGTCATTTTAAATACTTTAATTTTGTAACCTGAACAGCTATTTCTAAGATGACAATATGTAACTTATCAACCAGAGATTTCTTACCGTTTGTTTTTCTGTAATTTTGTATTATTTCTACCCTTTTTTATCTTTATGTATTTTTTTGTTTCCTTTTCTTTAAATTAAAAAAAAAAAAAGAATATCATTGGGGTTGGGGATATAGCTCAGCAGAAAAATGCCTGCCGGAAAGTGCAAGGTCATGAATTCAATTCCTGGTAGCAAGAAAAAATTATAAAAAAGAATACTGTTGGCGAGTGTTAGAGTTGGATAGTATACCAAGAGGGCCATACTTTTTTTTTAGTAATGTTCTTAATACATAATTCACGTACTATATAGTTCACCTATTAAAATATACAACTCAGTGGTTTTTAGTATGTTTATGGAGGTGATGTACTATCCTTACCACAATCTAATTTTAGAATATATAACCCCCAAAGAAAACCCATATTTATTATCAGTCAATCACCATTCCCTCCACTCCCATAGACCCTTTTAGTCATTAGATACTTTATCTCTGTTGATTGTCTCTTCTGGATCTCTGAAATAATTTGAATCATAC